GTTTGTATTGACGAAAGTTTTACCGCACAACTTTTGATATGTTTATGATATGATATTTTTACATGATTTAAGTATTTTCTGTAAAGTTTCTATCGGGTATTTTGAGTTCTGTGCGATTTTTATCGAATAGAAAATTTTCAGGATATTGGAAATTGTTGCTTCAGTACAAGTAAAGCTTTGAAACATTGTTTTATTCGATTTCCGGTAATTTGGTAAATTTCTGAATTTGTGATTTATGTGTACATTCCGTATACTGCCGTTATGCTGCTGATTTCTCGTACGATCTCTAATTTTCTGAATTGATGATTCGAATAATTGAATATGGATGTGATTATATAATTGAATTTTTGTTATGGTTACTGAAAGACAAGTGAAGACTGGTTGAACTGTTGGTTGGAGATTGATTTGACCTGTACAGGATGGTGGGCCGACGGGCTTTCCTTTAAAAAGGGTTTGGCAATATCCTCTATTGATCATTGATATAACGATTGAGAGTCATAAGGAGATTATTATGCCAACGGGCGGTCGACGGGCACAGAGTGACGACTCTTATTGAGCCAACGGATATAATGACACAACAATACATCGATACCGAAAAACGCCTTAATAGCCAGTGATTGTACTTATTCAGTAAGACTATTGTATTGAATTGCATGTGTACGGAGGTCAGAAGAAACATAGTCGGTAGGAGATCGTGGTCAGAAAGATTGTTGTCTGGTGATGGAGGTCGGAATGATCATAGTAGGCGATGGAGGTCGGAAGGGCCATAGTCGACAGGAGACAGGGGTTCAAGAGACCGTAGTTGACAAGAGACCGGGGTCAAAAAGATTGTTATATGGCGATATAGGTAGGAAGAACCCTAGTAGGCAAGAGACCGGGGTTAGAAAGATCGTTATATGGCGATGTGGGTAGGAAGGACCATAATCGGCAAGAGACCTGGGTTAGAAAGACCGTTGTAGAAGGGCGATACTTCGGGAGAACTCTCGATGTCAAACGGTGGCCCGGCAGATGTCCGAGCCTCAAGTGGTGGTCTGGCTAATCAACGACGTCAGGCGGTGGTCCAGCGGACGTGAGGGTCTCAAGTGGTGGTCTGGCGGAGCAACAACGTCAGACGATGGTCCTGCGGAGGTGAGAGCCTCAAGTGGTGGTCTGGCGGAGCAACAATATCAGACGGTGGTTTGGCGGATGTGAGAGACTCAAGTGGTGGTCTGGAGGAGCAACGACGTCAGGCGGTGGTCCGGCGGAGGTGAGGGCTTCAAGTGGTGGTCGAGCGGAGCAACAAATTCAGGCTGTGGTCTGGCGGAGGTGAGGGCCTCAAGTGGTGGTCCAGCTGAGCAACGGCGTCAGGCGGTGGTTTGGCGAAGGTGATGGCCTCAAGTGGTGGCCCGGCGGAGCAATGACGTCAGGCGGTAGTCCAGCGGTGGTGAGGGCCTCAAGTTGTAGTCCAGCGGAGCAACGACGTCATGCGGTGGTTCGACGGAGGTGATGGCCTCAAGTGGTGGTCCGGCGGAGCAACGACGTCAAGCGGTGGTCACGAGGAGGTGAGGGCCTCAAGTGGTGGTCCAGCAGAACAACGGCGTCAGACGGAGGTCCGGCGGAGATGAGGACCTCAAGTGGTGGTCCGGCGGAAGTCCGGCGGTGGTCTACGAGGAGCTTCTTCCTTCTCTTCTTCCTTCTTCTCTTCTTGCTTAGGTCTCCTCTCAAGAGAAATGAAGGGTCTATTTATAGATTTCTGAAGTGTCATGACTCGTAAATAGGAGGAGAATCAAGGCCAAATACATAGTGGTTTGGATAGACGACCGATATTGAATCTCTTGATCGTGGAACGTTCGTCAGACATTTGAAGGTCTTAATAATATCAGAATCCGACGATCTTGGGCTCATTGGATTTGTCTTGTCAAGCTTCTTGATTCTATTATAAGCATGTTGCGTTTAAAAATAGTTTGATAATCCAAATTATTGTTCAAACTTTTCAATAGCGCTTCGGGTCCTTGATTTGGACTCATTTGTGCTCGGATTGAGTTTAATTTGGTGTCGTTGGGTTTGTAATTCCGAGATAATCAGTTCGACTGTAAGTTTGTTGAAATCGGAGTTCAGATGATCCCAATTTTAATTTTTGAAAGTTTCTGGCTTAATTTTGCCTCGAGATTCGTGCCTAATCAAGATAATTTTTTGATGACATATCATGACTATTTTGTGTCCATGTAGCTGTATTAATTGGAACTAACGACATCCCCTATGGCATACTTATTTTGATATGCAGTAGCCTATGATGCGCCGACACTTCTCCTCAGAGAGGCGTGTAGTGTCCGACACATATCTGACATGACGTATCTGACACAACAAAACATATGATACTCCTCTGACGCTAAAATATGTCTGATTAAAAAATATTAAATACAAATTGGACACGCGTACGCGTATCTTAAATATTTAATGAATTTTTTAAATATAATTTCTTGTAGTTAAAATTTTTACTTATTTAAAATATAAAAACTAAATTTCTTATTTATTATCCACAGCACTAAATTAATCGCCCACACTTATTACCACATTCATCCAATATTCTTATTTTTATTTGTCTTTGGCAGTGAATATATTTTCGCCTCCTCTCTCGATGAATGATAAATGGCATCGACGCCCGATTTTATAATATTAATCATTTTAAGCACAAATTCTAGTTAAATGACTTTTTATTTCTAAATTATTTTAAAATTATATTTATTTACATTTTATACAGTATTTTTAAAATATAAATACTATAATATCGTGTTCAACATGTGTCTTATATTTTTAATAATTGACGTGTCCCGTGTCCATGTCATGTCATATCCATGTCGCCGTGCCCATATAATTTCATCATAGACGCTACCATATCATCAGGTAATTCTATCGTACACTTCATCATTAATGACTTCACCTTTTCACTTCATCATTGGCATAGGCGGATCCTAGGTCAGCCCAGGGTGGGCAAATGCCCACCCTAAAAAAAAAAAAAAATTGCCTAGAGGAAGGGCATATTTGGAACTTTGACCCCCCTCAAAAAAAAAAAAATTGCCCTGTTGCCCCGCTCAGTTGCCTGCGCCCCTCACTTTTCCTTCGCTTCCTTCAGCCGGGTTCGATTTTCCTGCAGCTGAGACATCTCTTCTCTGCGGATCAAGAATTTATCCTTTCTTACTGCATCTATGTTTCGTGATGCCATTCCAATTGATTTTCGTGAAGGAATATATATGGTTTTTTTCATATGAAATAAAAAGTTCAGTGTCCAAGCGATCAATGTGTTTTTCCAAAGAATTTGATGCAAGCTCGTGATTAAAGGGAGTTTCAACTTTATGAAAGATTTCTTCTCTAATTTCATCGGAGGTTTCATGTTAACCTTTATTATTTTTGTTGATTTGATTTCCTTATTTCTTTTGCTTTAGTCTATTATGTATGCTGATATATGAGTTTATTTTGGCATAATCTCATACACCATCATTGCATGATATATTTATTGGACACAAGATATCCATTGTAGAGAGATGACTACAATTTCTGAAAGAATAATGACAGGAGGATATGAGTAGTTACTGTTAATAGTTATGTAAAATATTATTGGACATAAGACATTAAATGAGAAAAAAATTAATTGTGGGTGATTATTTTCATCAGCTCTAAGCTCGACAAACTCGACTAGCCAACTAGTTAACAAGTCAAGTTTTAGCCGGCTCACGAACCGACTCGGCTCACTTACACTCCTAGGCTAAACATTTGTTGCTCTAAGAGACATCTTCTTTTAGAACATTAGCATCATTGGCTTCACATCTATAGGAAATAAGTGTCGCTCTTATGGATCGTTTTCGTACAAGTATGACTTAACTCAATCAGGATTTAGTAAATCTAAAGAGAATTAAAACTTGAAATTTGTTTGGCATGACTATTATTAAATTTTATCAATTTCTGATAATTTTATTATTATTATATTTTTATTTTATTATTATTATTGTTGTTATTTATTTAATTAAAATTTTGCCCACCCTAAAAAAAATAGTTGGATCCGCCCCTGATCATTGGTTTGAACAATATCTTAATTTTACTCTATTTCCTGTTGTTAATTTCTAATATAGTATGGCCTACGAACATACATATAAATTCTTCTTGGTTCGTGCGGCATATAATAGTCAATGAAAAAAAACTCCGTTGGAATTGGAACACATTGGGAGGCTAACTGGGGAGTGCCACATCATCGCATGCACTGGGCCCCGGTGATGTGGCGCGTCTCAATTCACCTCCGAACATGTTTGGATTCTGCACAGAATAATTTTTTTGTTGGGAAGAGTCGGAAATCAATTTATTTAAAATACACGATCTCTTTATATATTTTTATAATAACTTGACAGGCTTAAAAAATCATTTGATCAAGTAATTGACATACAATTTAAATTAGGGATTTTTACATACATAACACTTAAAACTATTGAAAATACATATCTAACACCAAAACATTAATATTTACGTATCTACCACTCCGTTACTCATGCCGTCACATCCCGTCGGGGAAGAAGAGAACTGGGGAAATACATGGAAGTGATGATGCCGGTTCAAGAGTTCCACTTCTAAAGCGTGACGACTACGCCGTACATGAGCGCGCCGTCGAGCCAAAAACACTTCGGCGTAGATCCCATGGAATTCTACTACCCCTACGCCGGCGCCCCAAATAGCCCCAACGCCGCCGGAGTTGAAGACGACTTTGCCTTCGACTTCAGCGGCCATCTCGAGAAGAACGCGCAGCCGCCGGCGTTAACATCAGCCGACGAATTATTCGACCAAGGCAAAATCCGACCCCTCAGACCCCCTCCCCGTCTATGCTCTCCGCATGACCCCTTCGCCGCAACCATAA